AGCCATCAACTTGGTGAGTGCCTTGATGGCGTATCCCTGGTTTGCTTTTGGTACTGGATAGGCCTGCAGTAGCCTACTTGCCATCCATGTACCAGGCACCTTCAGGAATGGGATATTCCCTATCTTGATTTCCCATCTTGAAAGGGACTCTTCTCTGGTGGAGTGACCAATGTTTCTTTTGGTACATCGCTACAATACATCACTGGACTTAGGATCTTCTTTCCGTGGTGATGAAGACAGACTACTACTTTGGCTGAGATAGGTGCCACCGTCTGTGCTTGGGCCATCCCCGTTTTAGGAAGCTGGGTCAGATCTTTCACCCACCCTAAATCAGCAGGGTGGTCTTAACTACAACCTCCCATCTGAAGGCCTCAGTTACAGAGGAACAGGCATCCACTGTCACATTCTGATGATTCTGAAACTTCTGATTGTCCTTCAACTACCTTCGTGGAAGAGGACACGATCAGGCTGGCGACCAATTTCCACAAACTGAACTTCAGCTTGGATTAAGTCATTAAACACGTAGCAATTGGGTAGATCAATATGACAGGAGGATCAGCACAATAGAAAGGCGCTATAAAGGAAGGAAAGAAGATTGCTTACCTGTATCAGAAGATTCCAGGTTTGCAGGGGAAAGCTCCAGGGAGGGATCTCCAGAAATAAATCTTACCCAGCGGCAGTCAGCCCTTAAATAAGGTCTAAGAGAGAAGAGAGTAAGAGAGGTACAGCCAGCTTCCACCCTTTCTGATCACACAGGTAAATTGCCTTCACCTGTGCTCCCAGGCTAACTGGGTCCTTTCCTCAGGTGCTCAATCAGTGGTTCAGGCCATGACTCAAAGGTTCTCATACACTTGGCTTTTTCTTTTTTTTTTCTTTTTTTTTTTAACTTAACAGACAACAATGTGGAAAGGGATAGCATGAATTATTCTTGAATTACATCCTATTCACTGAGAGAAAAAACACAGCACAGAGAAACTCAGCAGCTAAGCAAAGACAAATTCTTATCCAGTGCACATGTATTTGGACAACTTCTAGTTCAACAGCATGGATGTTGTCCATGGTTTGGACAGGTACGCCATTTGCTGAGCTAGCTGGATGGCCAGGCCCAGAGAATGATGGTGAATGGAGTTCACCATCCTGTCCTCTCTAATAAATGTACTGATGACCTGGATGAGGGCATTGAATGCACCCTCAGTAAGTCTGCAGATGACATGAAGTTAGGATGAAGTGTCGATTTGCCTGGCAGTAGGAAGACCCTACAGAGGGATCTGTGCAGGCTGAGTAGCTGGGCTGAGGCCAATTGAATGAGCTTTAACAAGACCAAGTGCCAGGTCCAGCATTTCAATTCCAAAAACCCTACCCGTTGCTGCAGGTTTGGGCCAGCATGGCTAGAAAAACAAATATGAGAGAAGAACCTGGGGGTGTTAGTAGACAGCTAGCCAAATATGAGTCAACAGTGTGACCAGGTGACCAAGAAGCCCAACAGCATCCTGGGTTGTATCAGATACAGTATAGTGAGCAGGATTAGGGAGGCAATCAACCCACCCACTGAGGAGGTGCTTAGTATTCACCTTTAAAACTACATTTTGGGTCCCTCACTACAGGAAAGACATCAAGGTCCTGGAGTGTGTTCAGAGAAAGGCAAAAAAAAGCTGGTGAGTGATTTGGAGCACAAGTCTTACGAGGAGCAGCTGAGGGAACTGGAATTGTTTAATTGAGAGAAGGGGAGGCTCAGGGGAGACCTTATTGCTCCCTACAACTACCTGAAGGGAGACTGTGGCAAGGTGGGGGTTGGCCTATTCTCCCATGTAAGTAGCAATATGATGGAAGGTAATGAACTTAAATTGAGCCAGGAAAGGTTCACATTAGATAGTAGGAATGATTTCTTCTCAGAAAGAGTGGTAATAGATTTAAATGTGCTGCCCAGGGAAGCGGTGGGTCACCATCCCTGGAGATTTTCAGTAAAATGGTAGATGTGGAATTTAAGGTCATGATTTAGTAGGCATAGCAGTGATGGGATGACAGTTGGACAAGATAATCTTAGTGTTCTTTTCCAATCCAAACGATTCTATCATACTTTTCTACATTACCAATTACATGCAAACATACCATGAATTAAATTCCCAAATTAACCAATGTAGGCGTGGGCATGATTCCACAGAAAGAACTCATTTTGTCAATTTTGTTTGCAGAAGAGACTGAAATTCTGGGAAACAACAAATTCTCAGTTACATATCCACACAAGATTACTTTTTAATGTGCAAATGAATCAAAATAATATAGACTCCGACAGCCCAGAAGCAAGGGCAAAGAGCTTTAAAAGTGTTTCAGTCCCAGGTGTATAAACAATCTGTTTGTTTTCTCTGTTATTGCAGGGAAGGATACAACTTCCTGTCTGAATGCCACACTAGCATGAAAATCATGTTTTGTTTGTGCCAGAACACTTCACGCTAAAGACTACATACATGAAATACAGTGATCATACTTTATATGTGAAATAAATGCTCACACAACCCAGGTGTCATAAAAGTAGACAGTAAAAAGGTACTGTTTTAATTAATTCATAGACATTGTTTATATATACATATATAAAACGTGTACATAAAAAAAATATGTTTGCCATCTCAAAGGTAGTATCACAACAACAAATGAACACATTTATTTTCTAGTGGAAGCTGAGAAAGTCTGAGGGAATTCTCCAACATAAATAGTCTCCCTGAATAAATATAACATTGAAAAGTAATTTTACGTCTCAGACCTATCTGGAGAGAAATGAAGCTGTTGGCTGGGACTACACTCAACATTTTTTCATTTTAGCTTGATCTGACAAATAAAAGGTACATTTAACTGAAGGAGGAATGAACATCCATAATCAGGTAACTATGTCATATACCCCTTAAGGCTAACCGCTTGCAAAACAGCAACTGGCCTTTCTGGAGGTGCTTTTTCTTCCCCTTTTTCTTTTTATACCATTCCTAGCAGATCATGAAATTTGATTCCAAGAGCAATACACACTGGAACTACTCTGGAGAACATAAGGTTTAAAACAGGAACAACCAGGTGAGGTTCTCTACTTGAGTTCTGAGTATCTTCAAAGATGAAGATTGCACAAATAATCAGCTCTTTTGTCTAACCATCCTCAATATGAAACTTTTTCCTTGTATTAATTTGGATTTAACCTGCTTTATCATAGATATGATGCTTCTTGTCCTATCACTGTGCACCTACTAGAAGAGTTGAGTTTTGTCTTACTAAGATAAGCATCAGATAAACTAAGCATCAGATAATTTCAGACAGCATAAGACCCTCCCATGGTTTTATCCTCAGGCTAAACAAATCCAACTTTCAGCCGCTCCTTGCATACAACACATTCTAGTATCCCTGATATTATTTTCTCCAGAGTCATTCTTGTATATCAACGTGTTTCTTGTACTGGGGAGCCAGAACTAAACAGTATTCCAGGAGCAACTCACACATGCCAAATAGAAGAGAATAATCACTTCCTTCAACCAGATTTTCATGTCCTTGCTCTTACAGCATAGGGCAATAAATCCAAGTTTTTGTTAAAATGATATTGTTTGCATGAACTAAGGTTCATTGACCTGGAATTAGGTTTAAGAATAAGCTCTTTTCCTAAGACTGAGTGTCTTGCATGCATTTAGGTTGATGTACTTTTTCCACAGTTGGCATCCTATAGTGAGACACACACTGATTTCATGCATTCAGCTCATCCTCTGGAACACTAGAATTATCTTCTGCAAAGTTTCAGGTCTCCAAACTGCACTCTTATACTTTGTTATTAAACTTGGTTTCCTTGTAGGTGTTTGTGTGAACACCTGGGCTACAACACTTACTCACACCTGAGCATATTGCCGCTCATCTTCATGGCAAAACAAGAAAGTTGTTCGCTGCTCCACTGTCACACAAAATGGAAACTCAAAAGGCCAACTGAAGCTTTCAATCACACAGAGAAGAACTAGGATTTTCACCCATGGACAAGATAGATATGATAGAAGGCTAGGTAACTGCATACCATCTCATAAATCCTGGAATTTGCTGGTAGCCATCTGTGGGAAGACTGCTACAGACCAACTCTCAAATATTGTAAGATCACAGCAACTTGATTGGTACAGACTTGGTACTGTCACCTCACAGCCAGGATATAAAGTAAGTAGCACTTGTTGGGTTTATGTTTGTCTTATTGTTTATTTTGTTGGGGTTTTTAAAATTTGTTTTATTTTTCACATTCTATCATTTACTTCCCTTTTTCATTCTTTCTGCCCTTTGACAGATGTGCAGAAAGCAATATTTCTCACTCCTCCTCTGGCTCAAAAATACTATATTCCTTAATGCTAATAAGTTTCTGGCCACCAAGTCAAATCAAGCTACTGTGTGGAGGGGGAAGAGTTGGAAGAAGCTATATATATATATATATATTATATATATATATATATATATAGGATATTATTATATCCAAGTATGTG